ATTTATTTATTTATATATATATATATTAAAATTTAATTTATAAGTAATTATAATAAATAAAAAATTAAATTAAATAATAAATTAAGAAAATTCTTAAAAGCTCTCAAAAAAATTTTGTTTGTGTTTAACATATAGGAATGGATTGTAATTTGTTGAGTGTCTTTTGTTCTTCATTTACACTCAACTTTTGGTACTTTTTTTGGTAGTTGTAGATATTTATATATGTTATTTTACCCCCTAAATTGGAAGAATCAAGTTATATTAAAAGGCTAGAAGAGTAGTAGCAAAATCTTAATTAATTTCCTCCATTTTGCAGAAAATTTGAGAAGGCAGAGATCCAAGCCATAGTTGTGGATCTAGAGCTCGAGCTGTGGAAATCTAGGAAGGAATTAGGAGGTCAAAAACTTGCAGCTATAGCTATGATTTTGCAGCTATAGTTGTGAAAATCTGGATTGCAATTTTGAAGTTCCAGAGACTTGAAGCTAAAGCTGTGGACTCACAACTAAAGCCATGGAGCACCCAGGATCCAGCAAAAGTTCCAGAAATTCACAGCCATGTGGTTTTACAACTGCAGCACTGGGACTTACTTCACCATGAAGGATTTGCCACAGCTATAGTTGTGGATCTGCCGCTGCAGCGTTGGAGGTTTCTTCACCCTAAAGGACTCTCCACAGCCATAGTTGTGGATTTACAGCTGCAGCTGTAGGAGGAAAAATCACTTTTTCCCCCTATTTTAAAGCTCATATAAAAAGGGAAAATCTAAAAAACAGAGGGCATCACAAAATTAAGGAGAAAAAAAACAATATTGAGACTATAGAGAAGGGAGAACAGAGCAAGAACGAAGATTTGGGAGCTGGGTCATTTGGGAACGAAGCCCAACCCCTTGTCTTCATCTTTCACTTTGTAATCTCTTCTTTCGCTTTTCTTGTCTTGTAATAGCCATGTGTGGCTAAACTCATTGAGGATTGGTCCTGGTGTAACTACTAACTCTTCTATTTCTTGAATCCATATATGCATTTCATTTTCATTGCTTGTGCTTGATTCTAATTTTAATGCTTATATTGGCTTGATCAACCGTTGTATGAATCTTTGGTTTTTGAATCCTGTTGGAAAACGTTTTTGAAAACTCGAACTGTATCTTGCACCTAACCATCTCTTGTTCTAGGGATAGACTTGATATGGTTAGTCACTTTTGTTCAAGTCATTGTTCTTAATGCAAGTTGTTAAACTCAAAACATTGAGGAATCATATTTTAGATTAATCACTTTAGGATTCAGTTTTGAGGAATCTTGTTGGATTACTAAATGAACGTGGAGGTAATGAAATTGAAATCATATTTATTTTAAGAAAATTTGAGAGTTAGCAAGTACTCCTGAATCCAATCCTTGCTTCATATAATTGTTTTTATAATTTTCACATAATCGTTCCAATTTTACTTCACATTAGTTCAATACTAATCTTATCAACGTCTCTTTTATTAATCATTAGAGTAGGAATTCCTGAACTCCTAAATCCCTGAAGACGATACTGTATTTCTACAACGAAACTTGGTCCGCTTGCCAAGTGAAGTGTTTGCAAAATCCTCATCATAATTAAAATAAATAAATTTGTATAAAATAAATGTGGGCAGTTAAAGGAAACAATTTTTCCATGCTGTTAGTTCTGCCGTTAGTTTGTGTTTGTAGAAGGTGGCAATGAGACCTTTTAAATTAATCAAAAGCTTGTGGTTGTCCTAAAATCTGCTTGAAAACCAGTCATGAATTATTGATTTTTTATATCAGCATAAGATTTATTTCTCATGAATGTTAGGTCCCAACTCAATTTAAAGTAGTACTGTATTATTTAACTCGTATTGGACTTTTTCTCTTCCGTCTTTTAAATTAAACGCATGCCAGACTTTGACCAGAAGCAAACGTTTCTCATATTGTACGTATTTCAAAGGTAGGATACTTTGACGGCAGGAAGAAAACGCGGAATGAGAGACTCGGTTCTGTAGACTTAAGACATAGTTTGGTACTTGCTTTCAGGATCCTAGACAGTCTTAAATTACTTGCAACTCATTCATGCGCACGTAGCCATGTGACCTTTGAAAATATTTAGAATGTGTTCTACTCTAACTTTAACAGCTTGTCCACTAATGCTTCAGCTGAATTGTCAAGATTGTCGTGACATGGAGAGATTATGATATTTAAGCAAGTCTCTAACACAATAAGTAACTGGAGATGAATATTTCTATTTATGTTAGTTTAAATATTTGTCTCAAAGATCATTGTTTTACGAATTTTGTGACAGAAAATTGTACTTGTTTCAATATGGAAAACCTCTTCTTAAAAAACTTACCAGTTGTTCAAGTTCAGTATCTCAAATTATCTTAACTCTAATTAAGTTGGGTCATAAACTATGTGCATATCTATCAAAGTCTTTATTGGAATAACTTGCTAACAATTTTAGTACTCAACCTGCGTATTTATGATAATAATTTATTCTTGTTATATTTTGAAGCCAACCCTTTCGAAATCGGTTTAAACCTGACTAACAATAATGCGAGTGAGGCTTCGACCTTGATGAGCTTATGGTTCGAGTCTTGACCCCAACAACAGTAGAGTTAGAAGGCAAACGACTACCTTACAAGGACAACCAGGTACCGACTTAAGAGTGCTCACAGTCCATCGGTGCAAAAAATGGTTTTCACATCAAGGATTTAAAATCGGTTACTTGTAATGGATTTTAAATCTCATAGTATAATTGAAATCAAATGAAGTATTTTTAAAAATGGTTGTATGATAACAAATTTTATAAGCCCCTAGAAGAATACCATTCTAATAAATTATTATACAACTAATTTACAAAAAACCACACTTTTAAAATTGATTATTCAAATAATCAATCTTTAAAGTGTTTTTTTTTAATTAGTTATAACAACTGGTTTAGAAAAGAAATTAAAATGGTGCCTTTTGTGCTTCACCTTTTGTAAAACTCTCTCTATCTCTCTTGTGCTCTCCCTTCTCTCATCGTTTTGCCACAGCTGTCGTTCAAGCCCACCACCATGCAGTTTTCTCTTATGCTTTCATTCATGCTCTCTTTCCCATTGTTGTATTGCCACAGTCATCCCTGCTTGTAAGTGTTTCCTTCATTGTGATCGTTGCTGGTCTTATTGGTTGTATATTTGGTAGGTTTGAATTAGTTGAATATGTTGTTTGGTATAATTAATTGGTCGTTTGGGGTTTGGGTTTGGGTTTGATTTTTGGCTTTTGCAATATATGCATGTAAAGTGTTTGATATTTACTCACAATGAACATCATGGTGTCACTCCTTGAGAAAAGAAAAAGGGGACGGTAGGGTTGTTAAAACTTTTAGAATCAATTATAAAATAATTGATTTTGTAAGTACACTTTTAAAATCGATTTTCATCCGATTTTAAAAGTCTGGACTTATGAAATAATTTCTTTTCTAAGATTGATCAAACAATCAATTTAAAAAAAATTAATTTTAAAAGTCTTTTTCCACTAGTGATGAAGTGAGATAAGTTTACATAATGGTGAATTTACTCAAATTCAAATCAAGGGGTATAGAGTCTCAACTTCCACCATGCATGTGAGATGAGGTTTGGAAATGATGCAAATATCAATTCCTAAAGATTCCCTTCAAAACCTAATCCCATATGAGATAGAGTTTGGAGTTAACAATCAATTTCTAGTGTGGTAAAACAACTAATTAAGTTGAATCTCCCTACAATCATTAACCATCTTGAACACGCTAAGGACCATAAATAGGCATGGAAACATGGTAGGGCAGGTATGGGCTGGATTTCATGATACCTGTCCTCTTTCCTGCAGTTCAAACTCATCCCCATCTCCATCCTCGATAACTGATGGGTATGTAACTTTTATCTCATTCCCACCCCCATTGGATATCGGGTATTACCCGTATGTACCCGTCAAAAATTAATTAATTTTTTTTGCAAAAAAGATACATAACATTTTTAGCTTATCTTTTTGTTATATTATAATAGTAATTGGGTTATTTGTCTATCTCATATTTTAATCAAAATTTTTTTTAATAATTAAATAACCACAAATGTTTCATATCATAATAAATAACCACACATAATTAAAATCTTACAAATTAAACAACCATAAATGTTGAGTAATGTCACAAATAAACAACCACAATAGGTTGAGTTGATATAACAAAATAAATTGAAATTTCTCAAATAAAAAATAAAATTCATCTTGCAAGTGAAACTACTGGGGATAGGGATAGGGACGGGAACGGGGCAGATAAGTATGTACCCGTCCCCCAATATAATATTTCTGGTTTTACCCGTACTCATACTTGGTCACATCGAGTATTTTTAGTCAAAGTCTGGATAGGTTCGGATATTACCCATGAGTACAGGTTTATTTGTCATCTCTAACCATAAAAGACATCTTGTCGCTTCAAATTTTAGGCTTCAAGCATGCTAGTCTTTTAAATGTCTTGATAGCATGGATCACATGGTTTTATTTAAATGTAAGTTGTAGGCCACCACCTATATATAAAGTACCATATATCATTCTACCCTAATCTCATTCTTAACCTAGACTTTCCTCTAGCTTGAGCGTTAAGTGTCTTTGCAAGTGCTTCTACTATCATAGATATCGAAAAAACTAGGATGTCATCCTCATTGTTGAAACACTAGCAAATTTTGGTAAGAACAGAACCCCCTAAGACCAAGGGGGAAAGAGCATTTGTGAAAATACATCCTTCTAGCCCTTGTTTAAAGATGCTTTTGTTTTATTTGTCTAAGATATTGCCTTTTTGAAAAGAAGGAAAAATTGTTTCTAGGGATTATAAAATTGTTTCTAGGGATTATAATATTTGATCAGGTTTGTATAAATGGGCTAATTAAAATTGATGCATTGAGCATGGGATATGCATGCTTGACTTGGAGTATATATGTCATCTTTAAAAACTATTTTTACCCATGATGGAAAAAACATAAAAGTGTTATTTGCAAACCTTATGTGCAGGGATGGCAACAGTTTGAGCTAGTAGCTATTTCACTATCTCCATCTTTGTTTCCATTCTCATATCTTATACTCATTCTCGTCTCCATACCTAAAGGATGCGAAACTTGTGTCTCTATTTTTGTCTCCATCGGGTTTTGGGTATACCAGTATCCATTCCATATTTTCCTAGAAATTAATTAAATATTTTTTTGTAAAAAATATATATAAAAAAAATCAATATAGAGTAGCAGTTACAAAATTATATTAATCAAGTTTCATTTGATATAATTTTAAAAAAGAGTAAGCATTACATAAATGTCAAGTAATTATTTTAAAAAAATTAAGTTTTTAGAAATTTAAAACAGGTACGGATACGAGACGAATAAGTATATACTCATCCTCATCCCCATAATCAATATAATAAATTGAGTATTATTTATACCCGTACTGATCAAACAATATTTTTTTGTCAAAGTCAAAACAAGTTTGAATATTACACACAAGTATGAATTCACTTGTCATCCCTACTTATGTGGATAATGAGCTAATTTGGATAGGTCAAAAAATAGGTAATGATCCCTTCACATTTTGTTATGAAACATTTATTACCAAATCAAGAATTAGATGGGCCCTTATTGAGTTAAAAAAAAGTCCATTTTAGCTAGTTTGAATGTCGCATCGACCTAACTACACCCAAAATGGTTGGGATTTCGCT